CAATATCTAAAATTACCTCACTGTATGGTTTATGTAGAAGTGGTTATGGTTACCTACTTCCAAAATCCACGCTTACTTGTATATAAAATTTGGTTTTCTTAAAAAACGTAATATCTATACAATCTCTTTATGGAGTACGCTGAGAGAAACGAATGTCAATTTATAAATTCTCATACTACACACTAATTATTCTCAAATTGTATTTTATAAAGTTATTCATTGTTATTATATCTTACCCTACTGTAAAATAAAGATGAGCTATTTTACCAAAATATCGATATTGGTATTGAAATCGTTGCCTTAATGTTAATAATCTGATATTATCATAAAGTATGTCGATATTTATAGTCAATAGACTATAATTTGCTGTCAAAACGTCGTATATTCCAATCGCCATTAACGAATTAATTAATTACCTATTCACTGGTACTACTAAGGTTTTTTCACCTATTATTTCGCTATGCCCCATATTTGGGATATTTTCTATATTTCGATTTTTCCTCTATATTGCGATATTTTAAAGATATTCGTACCGATATCAAAATATATCGATAATAGCGAAATATTGTTAATCTCTACTGTAACAATGTAAAACACTGGCTATAAAAAATAAATTACACTACATTTGAAAATCAAACAGATTACGTGATAGCATTATTTTATTACTATCTGACTCGATTGAGATTATTTAAATCGGAACATAAATTTTATGTTTTTTATTAAATCTTTAATTGAATATTAAAAAAAGTTATTTAATCAGTCCAGCTATTCCACAGTAAAGAGCTTGTAGAACAGAATTTAATTTATTACTAGTATAAAAATGAATAAGTAATAATTTTATATGAAAGTACAGTAAAGCTTATACAGACAAACAAATAATAAGGTACTTGTAAGTAGGTATCTATTACAATTGCATTGCTCGAACTACTTGCTTTTATTTCATGTTATCCTTCTTTTTCCGTTTATTACAATGTATCCTAAATATTATGATGAACAATAAATTTAATAATGTGCCCAATAACATCATTTCTTTAAATGGAGGACGCTTCGTTAGATGATATTAAAAAGTTGCAAACTGCCAAGTTGCACCACCATGTTTACCAACAGTGTTTTTGAGATGCATACGTGAGGCCACAGCCCATGGCCTCGGGCATTGGCCGATTTTCTCACTGCGTATAACAGCTGTGCCGTGCCGGTTTTGCATACAGCCAAATATTGCGACAAATGATTTACTAGAAGCGTCTAAAGTTTCGGTTCATTTCAACACGTCTCGCTTCTAGGTCAAACGGTCAAATTTCTGTATTAATGTATATTTTCTTTTGAATAGAAATGAGTTTTAGAAACCTTTGTACTTTGGAATGCTGACGAAAATGTCCAATAAGGAAATCGCTTTTTTAGAGGTTTTTTTTTTTTTACAATAAGATACTTCATTAGCAGACGTCCTCTGTCAACATACTCAGAACAGTTGTGGTAAAAGGCTGAGGAAACAACACGATGTTGTAAAACTGGCTGTCTTTTTTTTTTGTCACAATAGTGTCTTTTTTTGTTAGTCAAAGTATAAAAGCAGCACATTTTATTAATAATAATCCATACAAATGCAGAAACTGACTGACTGATTAAAGTATAGCCGATACTGCAGCGTCTGGACAAAAAAAAATGTAGTTCTCTTATAGTAACGCATGGCAGGACGAAATTTTCAGAAACTCACACGAGAAATGGTATAGAAGTATAAATAGAAGGTACCTTTTAAATTAGATGAGATTATGTTATTTGGCATTGAATGTTTTATACAAAATATGATAGGACAGTCAAATTGCTGTTTCGACCATGCTCCTAATACGTAAAGTACTGTAATTTTAGATTTTACATTGTGATTACTAAATCTCGCGGGAATCCTATGTTTCATTATGTTATTATCTATTGTTATTTAGAATGACATCAGTCGGTAATATTTTCAGGAATTAGCCTTTATAATTATGTACGTAATATTGTGCGGTGCGTTAGAAGTACATTAATACACTCACTTATTTATTTTTTTGAAGTATGTTCAATAAAAAGATTGTAAGCAATTTTTCATTTGCTTACAATCTCAGTAATTATATTGATGATCATATTTATGGATGTTTGTTAATCCAGAGCTGAAAGTATTTGCAGAAAATTTGGCACACTAATTTATGAAATGAAATGAAATTTATTGCGATGAATGTGGTAAGTTTAGGTAATATTATACATTTTGTGTTACCTTAACATTCAGCCAGCTTAACATGCAACATTTTTACATATATTATTAATAATCAACTATTAATTACAAGTTATATTACTAAAGCCACATTAAAGTTCAAGTTATTATTGTAAATTTATACATGCAAGTCATTATTTTTCACTCAGTTACATTTAGTCATAGAATAATATGTATTGATAATACGTTCCCATGGAATTATTTATAATTTGTCGAAGCAGATGAAGTCGCACATATAAAAAAATTAATACGTATTTTAAATTGTAGTTTTTTAAAAAAAATTACTTTAATAAATTATAAACTATTTTCACTGCCTCATCTAGTTCTGTACATCGATTGGATCGCTCCAAAAACGCAACAAAAATTTTACATACTCTGATGCAATCGATCGTATCGCGACTCTAGACTTTGCATAATCGACTTTGGCGCCAACGGACTTAGGCCTTTTCGTACAGCAATTAGAGTAACTTGTTTGCGTATTTTGTTTATCTATCATAGTATCGGTACTGTGATCGGAGCACTTTCTAAATGAAGTCATAAAAGTTGATTATCAACATGTTATTGTATTTAATCACTTGTGTTAAGTCCACGGTTTTTTCCATAATACTTTGTAATAAAGTAAATGTTCTTGTATTGCATTATGATTAAGAAACCAGTAGCTTTTGCTCTACAAAAAAAAAGACGATTTTAATCCTGTCAAAACCAGTTATTTTAACTTGAATATCAAACTACTGAATTTTGATAAGAGTTTCTATGGAATTAATCTCAAAGTATATTTCTTCTAATAAAAAAAAAACAAATCTATATAAGTGACGAAGTTTTGAGGTAACAAATAAAAAATACAACCAACTTAAAACCTCTCTTTTTTAAGTCGGTTAATTACTTATATATAATATATAAATAAAACAATATAATCAAATGTTATCTCTAATTGAGTAGTCACAGACATTTGTCGAATGATGCTGTTGTGGTGAACGTAACGGCTCAATTTCACCAAGTATATTAGATTTCAACGCGACAACGTTATCATCGATGACTTAGTTTGAAGTTTACAATTAACACATAAAACTTTTTATGTTAGCGTGTTTCAAACTCATAAATTTTGCGGTAATAGTGGTAAATCTGTCTTAGATTCTATAGATAGAGTGTCTGTCTGCATACAAATGTTTCGCTAAAAACAGATAAAATTTTTATTCATGTGTCTGTAAATAGGGTTACCATAATGCATATTTATTACTAAGTATATGGGAGAAATTATATTGTAAAGTTAAATTGAAAAATAAAATCGATACAAAATTGTTATATTTAAAAGAAGAAGCAGTTAAGTAGTTCATAATGATTTGTAATGATGTTTATCTTAATTGATATTTTGATTTATATTTGAGTATTGACACAAAATATGCTTTGATTTTTAAATAAAAAAAAATTGTAAACAATACATATATTTGTCCCAATTCTAATTTATAAAAACCCTAATATGAAAATTATTAATGTAATTACTTGCAACACTGAAAAAAAGTGCAATATTGTGAAAAAAAAACGTGTCAGCAAAAATTACCCGTTTTTTTTACATTCAATATATTCGTAATCTAAGTTATAGATATATCACTGGGCAAAGTCTATCTCTGAATTATGAATATTTTATAAACATTTATAGTATAATATTACATATTAGGATAAAACTGTAATCAAATATAAGTAATGGACATTATAATCTGTTCTGTAATGGCCATGTAAATGTGTATACGGAAAGTAATTTTTTTGTACCATTATTATAAAAAATAAGTTAAAAAAAAACTGATGCATGGATAATAGGGTACTTAGATAATTTTGATGATATTTTGACAGTACTTATAGTAAGCCAAAGGATAATAGGCACCATAGGTTAAATAACTATTGACAGATACATTTCATAATGATGGCTATAGAATTATTTTGATTTCAACAAATCGAATTATGTTCACGGCCTTGGCACCCATTTGCCAACAAACATTATGACACCGTGGGCAGTTATTACTAATAATAGCTATAATTAATGGCGTAATGTGTCTTTATTAAGGAGGGTTAGTGATCTGCTCGTATATCATTGAACGGCAATTGTTTCAAACACGTTTGAGCAAGTGTCTATCCAAAATAGAAGTGTCTAATTAGAGTTCCGAATAATTAATCAATGATTGTATCACCACACTATAAGTAGGTATAATAGTACTAAAATAGTATCACAGAGTAACTGACGTTATTTAAGAATCGGCATTGCACTTTATTGACAAAAATGAATCTATGTTACAACCTGAAATAATAACAATAAAATAAATGAATATTCATAGTCTTGTACAACTATATTTCAAAATATCGATTTCTGTAGGTACGAAAAATACTTAGCTACTTTATTCGTGTAGTGTAAAATTTCCAAATGAACTGGTTGCATAGATTTCATATTTTCCATTCAAACGATTTTTGTTGGAAGTGATGCAGGTTTACATAAATAAGGCGATTATATACAGATAGGCTCATCTTATTGGTTTTTAATATTAATTTTAAATCTAAATGGCAAAGGTATCTTTCTGTAATGCTATATTTGTAGTTTTCTTTATTGTTATTTTATAACCACGCTGCATTTTTACAATGACCGTAACAACTGTATTATTTTTTCCTTAGTATATTTTTTATGTTAGAGGTGTTTGCATATTTTGTGTTTATTTATTATAACATAAATAAATAACGACAATTTATGATTAACTAATATAATAAACATACTTACGTTCATTGCTGACGATTATAGGTGTTTTCACTTCCAAACACAAACTTCCTGAAGGCTTTACGGCCTTCGCTTACAACACTTACTGCGTAATACAACAGTCAAGTCGCCTGGGTGAATCACTTGATCACTTTTTAAAAAATACACAATTGTCACTAGAATTGTAGCCAAAGTTCGAAAGTCTTGCACTGTTAAAGTGTTCTGATTATTATCATTGTTATGTGTTCTCACGAGTCTCGCTGTCGATGCCCTCTAACCTTGAGGCGTTTGACGTCTAATAAAAACAAAATAGATTTATTAGATCTTTTTTTTTAATTAAGACAATAGGCGAGAAGACAGTGTAAAAATTTTAATTATATTGTGTTAAGAAAAAATTAATTTTGCATCCATCCATAGACACGGATACGTAATCCAAAATTATATACACATTTTTAATTTTTTTTTTTGTTTTATTTATATTAATAATTCCTTCTATCTGTGAAGAGTAAACATCTACTAATAAAATGTAAGCATAATTTTATTATGCTATTTTATTGTTTGTAATGGATTTTATTTTTTTCCCATCGGAAACTTTTTAACCGAGCGCTATAATACGAGTATCTACTTCTTTAAAATCAAGGCTATAACCACCGTAATTGACAAATTTTTAATTAATTTATCATCTATTAGTTTTATTATAATAAATAACAACAATAACTTTGACCCTTTGGATCTTTGACCTGGGTTTAACGACATAATAATACTTATTAATTTTTAATTAGAGCTGTTTTTGAAGATCTTGATATTTAAAGGCTATTTTCTATTTTTGTACTTGGTTGATACTAACCAATCATTATTTTCTTTATTAAAATTTTTATGTTAGATATTAACTAATAGTTGAACTATTTTTTTAGTTTAAAAATAATATACAAGTATTTTAATCAGAATAATAATAATAATATATTACTCGTCTTTATGTAAAAGAAACAAGTTATTGAAATAAATTGTAACATTAGTGAACGTTAGCATATAAATTACCTAATTTCAATTTATGATACTGGTTTTTTAATCTGCTTCAGAGGTTAATGACAATGCTAAAATATAGGAAACATTATATTTATATGTCGACAGTTCTAAAAAGAAATGCACCGTACTCATTAAATATAGTTGAACATATCTATTAATGCATGTGTACAGATCTGTTTGTGTATTGTAACAAATATATATTACGGTTTTTCAGTATAAAATTTTGTACATTTTACTTTTTTTATTGTAGTTTTTATAAAATTTTGTGTTGAAGATACCTAAAACACTAAAACTAGAAGGATTTGTCTCAGTCTGATCCCACATGATTTGTGATATGATAGATGGATCAGCCCCATGCAATTTGTTTGTTTGTGGACAAAAGTACACCCAGGCTTATGGCTAAATTTTGCTTCGAAGTACCTGAGATTTGAATTTGTTTTTATGCAACCTTGAATGGCAAACAAGCTGACAAGGCACACCTGATGGAAAGTGGTAACTGTCGCCTATAGATATGAGCAGTACTATGGACATAACAGAGTATACTATTTCGCCCATGACACCCCCCATGCATTGCTATTCCTAAGGACTCGGGTGTTATTCCTCTATACCCTGTAAATTCATTGCCATAACGCACCTTTCAAACCGAAACACAACCATACAAACACAATTACTTCGCGGTAGAAACACAAATGGGACAGAGGTGCAATCTGTAGAATTACCGCAGATTATCCTGCTACGTACTTTTACTAAAATTCACGCAACTTCATTAAACATTAGAATATTAGAACGCAATACGATGATAATAATAAGCACACATTATTGGAAAATACATGATTGCATCTTGAGGTTCATACCGTGCTTACAAATAGAGATCGTCCCAAATAAAAAAAAAAATATTGAAACAAAATGACATAATATGGTTTGTTTTGTTACACATGACGTGGTAAGAAGATTATACACAAGGTAAAAATGTGCCTACTGTAAATAACTTATGAGGTTATACGTTGAAATTTAAATAGTTAATAACCTTAAGAGTGTTTTAACCACGAAACTAAACATTTGACCCAAAGGGGTCGAACAATGACACAAACTACAATCTCTTAGGATTCTCATAATATCTAGCGCGTCTTGGTGTGAAGTTACTACTATGTAAGGTTTGAAATTTTTGTTCTAATTCAATTTGTGTGGTTTTCCTATTAGGAATTGGATATGGAGACTAGTATCTTATAAATTGACGTAAAAACAAAAGTACATGAGATGTGGCGTGTTCTGTCGCTACTATTATTCACCTGCTCGAAAAACTGGCCCCTGAAGAAAGAAGGAAATATACTCTTATACGTGTTTTTGCCTGTAGCTGAAAGCTCCGCTTGTATTTTGGAATGGGCATCAGATCACTCTGGTTTGGGCACATAGATATCATCACCTTTCATGAAACGTAAATATTTTTTTGTCAAGATGATGATTATTACATTCTTAAATTATATTGTGAAAGATCAATAGTTGTTTATTTGACACAAGTTCAATGCAATCATTGCTTTCTATAGCAATGTTTAACTTGCGTCAGTTAAGCACTAAACGTTAAGTCGTTATCTAACTAAGACTAATTGAAGGCGATGATTAAACAGTATTAGTAGGGTTGTCGCTTTTTGAAAATACTACCCTACATTTTATTGTATGTAATAGTAGATATTAAAATATTTGTTCATTAAACAATTGTAAGACTGAGAGAGACTGACATTGAGGGTGTATGTATACGTATGTTGTTAATAGTATAATTTAAATTTTACGTCTGCAAAACGAAAGGTTTTAATTAATATTATATAATCAACTATTAATAATTATTAATTATAATTGTCGAAACATATCTCCTTACGTATAACTACAAAAAAGAAAAACATAAAAGAAACGTTCAAAAATGTCATCCATATACATTACTTGAACAGTGATGGTTTAAATTAATAATTATCCCAGGAATTTGATTGAATTGAAATATTTTATTTATTATTGTCGAATAGTTCTGATTTGTATTCATTAGTATAATTTCGAATTAGACACAACCCTAAAATTTTTGACATTTTGAAGTTAGCTGAAGATAGTAATAATTATATTGCACTTAAGTTTTTGTAAAGCAATATCAAATGTCATTTAACCTATTACACCTATAACGTATATTACTATTAACCTATTACATTTCGTGTTTAATTTTTTAATTTTATTAAAAATTTCGGTAGTGATAATTGTAAAGATATTTTCAAAATTGTTGTACTCAAATTATGACAACAGTTGATATTTTTTTTTCTTAGAATTAAACAATTTTGTGTTATATTTAACCAGAAACTCTGACTTAACTCTGAATATCCCATCTCAGATTTAATTCATGTAAATATACTCAATATTTACATGTACCAACAAACTAAACAATCATCGCATTCCGTTATATACACAAGAGAGTAAGGTGTGAGTTGTGCCTATGTATTGCATAACGACTGGATATTCTACTTCAGTTATGCTAAGTTAAGCAAGGTTTTATAACCTACCTACTTACTATTGCATAGGATTTTAAATTTATTTAGTGTATTAGTTTAGAATGTCTAAAAAAAAAACACTAAAATAAAAAGGTATAGATTTTAAGTATAGAGTTTGTTGCCAGTTTTTCTTTCTATATTTAAATGTATATAAACAAAACCGTACATAAAGAAAAAATAAGAACGTAAAATATGTTCTTCTTTTATTTTCTATCAACACTGCGGTGAGATTATATTCAATTTTATTTTTGAAATATTCAAATAAAATTTTTGAAGTTGTGTCTTATGTCCAGGATTTTGTCTAATTTTTATGAATACAACATGGTTTATAATTAGAATTATGTTTTACCATCAATTCTATATTATTGTTAGCCACTTTTATAATATAGAAAAAATAAAAATAAAATATCTGACTTTCAAGTAAGTAAAAACATCCGGGATTTTTAACTTCTTGAAATATGGACATTTACTTTCAGTCATGTTATTGGAATCATTTGATAGTATTCGTAAACAAAAGGCAACTGAGAGAACAAAACAATAAAAAGAAAACTAAATAAAATGTTATCCCGTGATATCTAGTACGTGCCAGCAGTACAGCGAAACAGTAAAGCGTACATGTGTGTACAATGAAGATGACAGAATTAATATTTAAATATATATAATTAGGTTTCACCATATGACTAATATCAAATGCACGTATAGTATAGGTAATACAGCTATAGTAGGAGCAAATTTCATATACAACTCATAGTGCAATAATTAAATTCATAAAAGTAGTATTCGTTGCATCATTAGTTGTAACTCGAGGTAATGTCGATGACATTCAAGATTGCTGACATAAATCTGAGCAGAATTATAGAATAATATAGAAGCTTCTAAATTTTTCAGTTAATAATTGTTGGAATATAATTTTCACATTTCAATAATATTTCTATATTGTAGAAGAATTACGTGCTATAAAGTCTGCTATAAATAGTACTCTAAGAATCAAAGATTTTGTTGAAGTAATTATGAATCGATCAATCAGGGTGAGGAATGGGCAGCAGCGTCTATCTTAAAACATCTCTAAAGCCTGACTGCGGTTGCCAATTATCCTGCCAAGCGTGGCAACTACTGGCAAAAACCCTTAAGGGGGAGGCTTATGTTCAGCAGTAGACAGTTAAAGGCTGACATGATGATGGAGAATCATCAATCAATTCTCGACATAGTTGAAATAATACAAGAGAGTTAGGCTGAGATGGTATAATAACACCAAAAGAAAGCCTTTACTACCTAGACAATCAGCCCAGAGCAACGTATTATAGGGTCAAGTGCACTACAGCTGTCCTTCCTTGGTCAAAAATTCATAAGCTGACCGAACATAGGGAAGGACTTAGTACTAAAGGATATGGTAGAGTGACAATGTAAGGGAAAAGTAGCAGAGGACAGACATTTTCGAACAGACAAGCACATTGAAATCCTGCTGTTAATTTTTTTAAGTTGTTGACGGTTTATCATTTTTAAACTGACACCCTTCTTTTGTTTTACAGCTCAAGAAGCAGTTTAGATTTCACGGTGCGCCAAAGATATTTATGTACTACAGACGAGTACATAAAAAAAACGTTAAGTTCCTTTGTTTAGAAAATAAGGAAGCTGATCCTTTATGTGGTACCCATACATAATCTAATATAGAGAGATTCTATTCTACAATAAATATTCATACATGTGTGTTTCATAATTCTCCTATGGCAATAAAGTCAATGCCTGCATCATGTAATTGATAGCATTACAAAAGTACGTTTATCTACCTCATGTGGGATCACAGACTTGAAAGTTTTTGTATATTTGAGTAAATTATAACAGATTTAATAATTATATTAGTATCTAACTAATTGATATTATAAGCAGCGTTAAACACTGAATTTAATAGCTTTTTCACAATTTAAATAACTTATTTTAATGCGAGTATCGACGATAAACAAACCACTTATGTTGTGTATGTAAATATGTAACTAAATTATACTGAAAATGTACTATTTTAAAACGTTACTACGTTACATTTACGAAAACCGATTTTTTATAAGAAAACAATAACAAAGGCTGAGATGAAAACACTGAATATTTTAATATCACTGATTTATAATTTAATTTTTGATATTTTCTTTAATGTATCACGACTTGTTAATTACTTTCGTCTAACGATGAATCCTCGTGACGTAATAAAACACGCGAAAAATGTAGTTCGTTCCGTTCGGCTCGCGGCCTGCGCGTCGCGACTTCGCGCCGTGAACTGCGCGCGCGCCGTTTCCTCCACGCTGCACTGTTGCGCGGGATTACACAAATTATGTGTGTTACGAGGTACCTACGTTATGTAGATCTGTGGGTCGGTTTCAACGGCCTTCGTCGATACGTGATTTACTTGGTTCGCAATGAAAGTTTTGGGTTGCTACTACGATTTTTAAGTCGTTACAGTTTCAAGAAATTAGCTCGGGAAAAAGTTGAGTTATTTTGTATATGATTACATTTAAAAAATGCGATAGATTTCTATGAGATCCTTCTGAATACTTAATTTTATATAGATCACCTTCTTCACGAATTTCTGCTGTTTTGTGTACTCTTATATTTTAGTATCTTGTACAATCTCTGTTAAGAGATTTTACTCAAATAATATTTGTTATATGTAACGAACTGAACGATGTAATTTTTGCTACTGATCTTTGTTGTAATGTGTTTTGACAATGTGGCTAATTCACTTCTTCTTATTTCCGTTACCTATTTAAACATCTTATAAATTTCTCGTTATGTGGTAAATATAATATTTGCTTTGATGTCTTTGACTTAAATAATTATATAGGTATCTATTATAGTATTGAACAATAATGATAATGTTTACTAATATTCAAGTCAAATATATCATGTTCATTAACATAATGAACACATGATATTTTAATGACTTAGATGAATGTATTTGGTAATGGTTTTAGTTGTATTTTCACTTACATTCGTTAAATGTATGACGACATCACAATCAAACCATGCCGTATGGTCCCAGCATACAATAGGCCACCCTTGCCTTTTCCGTAGGTGTCTTAAGAGGTAATTAAAGGAATTTAATGGTAGAGAGGTGGACAGCAGTGCCCTTCTTAAAAACGACTCTAAAAGCCTAATTACGGTTGCCAACCCGTCTGCCAAGCGTGGCAACTACTGACAAAACTCCTCTTATAGGGAAGGCTAATGTTCAGCAGTGGATAGTTAACGGCTAAAATGATCACAATCAAACGTCCTGCTTTGTTTTTTTTTCATACTATATTCATATAATTCAATTAAAAAAAAAATTGGCACCTATTCTGTAATGGTCCTGATAGTAAATACCCACCCCATTTTTATATAACAGCTCTATAGTATATTTAATGTGGGAATGAGTCACACGATGACGAAAATATACGTAATAATATCGATTACTAAATCGAAACATCGAATCGTCCTAAATCCTCCGATTGTGAAAGATTTAGAAACAACCGGCTACTATGACGGACCTGACGCTCTTCCTAGTACGTGTCCAGCACTCTAACGCGTTATGAACGAACTAAAATTTTTAGAGCACGTCAGGCACGCACATGAGTCCTATCACGCATTCTGTGTATCAATATAATTATTATAAACAGCCTGTAATGCAATGAAAACTTTTTACGTAAGCTTCCATAAAGTTTTTTCTAAACGTTTCTAGAAGTCTTGCGTCATCACATTTACAACCCATTAATGTCCCACTCTGGTCTCGGCTTGTTCCTCATAAGAATATTAATCTACTATTACCACGCCGTTTAGCTGGCGATGGTCAGAATTTTGTTTCGAGTTTTTCTTTCCTTGCACTGGTATAATTATTTATTTATTCTTTATTGTACAAGTGGAGAACTTAATGCTATATGGCATTCTCTACCAGCTAACCATTGTGTAAAAACAGAAAGCGTATGAAGGCCTGATATCTTGTACTTTGTATTTCCAAGCGCCTCTTATAAATTTCTTGATTATAAAAAAGACTGAATTTTTCTTTTTTTAATATTTTTTTTTTATACTAATGAAGTGGCAAACAAGCGTACGGCCAACCTGATGGTAAGTGGTTACCGTAGTCTGTGACTAGCCACCTCTATTTGTGAAGATTCCTAGAATATTTTGTTGGTATACTAAATACATAGTTATCACAAGAAACGTCTAGTTTGGAACAAAAATTAAGGACGATAAGATAAATACAAAAAGAAATTAAGGAAGTCATTTGGATGTCAAGGTTAACTCGAAAGGAATGCAACTGGTTTTTATCCAGAAATCGAAAGTGGTCGTGAATCGTGCGTCGACTTGCGTTAATAGGTCTGCTTACGTCAGTCTGCGTTCACAAAGAGGGACCCCTTCACAGTTTGTTAAAATTATTGTCATGAGGTATTTCTTTAGTGCTAGCAATAGCTGTGCGCTCAACCAGATTTGTCATCAGTAATTTTATACTATCAAAACGATTAAAGAAAAAAGAATTAAAAATAATTGTAACTATCAAACGATATGAATTATGGACTGAAAACTCGATTTGAAAAGTACTATCAAAATTTTTTCACAATTGAAGAAGATATCGTGAAAGAGACCCAAAAATACTGTCAAAATAAAACGTGCTAATTTTTTTAGGTCTGTTTACAAACAATGTTCTACGTGAACTTTTGAAGACTGTTAACAATTTTTTTTTCCAAACCATTTCATTGAAGAAACGTAGTATATATGTGTAATAGAACCTTACTTAGGTAGCAAAAACTATGACTAAGTATATATAGTATACTAATGCTGGTGACTGGGGAAAGGATTGTTATTAAGAGGCAGCTAGTCTCTATTTCTAAAAATATATCCTGCCAGATTTAACTCCCTGCGGTCCCTGCGCCTGCGATCTAAAAACTCTTATAGTTAATTCCTGGAGTACTCACTACAATCATTGTTTCAACCTTCACTGGTGCCCTGATATTGTATACCGTTATCATAGGTGGGTACACCATCCCATTTTCATCCGTTAAAAATAAAAAAAAAACTGCTGATACCTGTAAGAATTTGTGAATTTGATATTCCAAATTCTTATTCATAACAATCATGTTGAATATTATTTATAAGTTAGAAAATGGCATCATAAAAAAATTTTTGGATTACATAGAAAAAGTACGAAATAAATAATAATTGTGTAAAAATTCAAACAAATAGAAGATACAAAGATGAATTTGTCTTTATGTCTTTTGTAAACGTGCAGTACCATTGTCGTTTGTTGAAATATGTGGAAGAGTATAAGTGTACTCATTTGTATTGGCTTGTATTTTTCCAGTATAACACAAAATATTACCACGTTTACTGTTATTATCGTCTATTGCGTTATTCACGTCTATAATAGGGTACTGTTACCACTTTCCATCAGGCGGTTCGTCAGATTGTTTAGTACTTATTTGTGTAAATATTGAATAGGAACTGTGAAATTGTAATTAATTGAATATTGCGTCATACGATAATTTATTTTGAACAGTAAGTGAACTTGTTGACAGTAGTTTGGGTTAAAGGTTGCATCATGTCATTCAAGATCTCATTGTTGAAGAATAAATAATAATGCAGTTTGACATAGTTTGACACTTGAGCGCTTATCGACAATTAAAAACAAATTGATTCGAATGATATAGCAAAACTCAGAAGAATAGATTAATTTAATTACTATGTTCAATTTAATCAGTCATTTTAGGTTTGTTAAAATTAAATGTCAATTAAAGTTACCAAAAAAAAATATAACTCCATTGTTAGAAGAAGAAAAAGCAATTCTTATATACGACTTCGAAAGATGCTCATTTTTGCATCTTTCGATGCTCATTTTTGATATGATATTGTTTGTGTGTATTATAAGATATCTCAACAAAATTGTCGGCAAATTTCGATAATAAAATTCTTTTTTTTTTTCACTTAAGAATGTTTTCTTTCACTTTAGTCTTCTACTACTACTAGTTTTGTCACAATTATTGTGTTATTATTTCTTTTTTGTGGACAAAGATCTTAAATTCACTCAGACAAGACCGTTTTATATATAATTTTATGGATTACTATAGGAAATATAAATCCTAATTAATTTGATTTATTATGTACTAGTTTTTATCCGCGACTTTTTCCACGTGATGAAGATATGTTTACTGGCCGAGGTAAAAAGTAGCCTATATTTTTTTCCATTCCATATAGTACTGCGTAACCGGGATAAAAGTAACTTATGCTCACTCCCAAACACTATATATACGAGTATATAAAATTTCATATTATTGATTTGTTTATTTTACACTTTATTGCACCATTTATAAAATAGTAAATACAGTTAATTTTAGTGAGACAATTTTAATGGTACAAAAGGCGGCCTTATTGCTAAGCAATCTCTTCCACACAACTTTTGGGTAGAGGACATTGAGAAAAGAAAAAAAAGACAATGATTGGTTAAGCCGCAAAGGTGCTATAAGGTAACAAACAAATAAACTCACTTTCACTTTACAATATTAGTAAGGATATAAAAAATTATATAAAGCACTATATATCTCATACTCAATTTTTTATATAGAAATTTTCTATTTCAATTTTTCACTTATACAAACCTTGTCCTAGCAATAACTAACAACCAAAAAAATGCCAAATAGGTGCAACTGTTTTGAAGCGATGTGCTTACGTACATTCCGCATGATTTTTATTGATATAGATTAGATTTATTGAATTTTGTAAACAAATCTGCTGATCATAAAGTCGAAAATTACCCATAGCAACTATTATTAGAGACTGGATTTTCCTATTTAAAACAATGTATGTTACTCGCTTGTAATGTTGCTCGTAGGTAAAAGACTTTAAATTAAATTAGGTATTTTTTGAGTTTGTCCGATACAAAAAAAAAGAGATAAATCTTCCTCATTATAATATTAATTTAGATATTACCCCATGTTGTCTCGCTTTTGGGTAAAAGTAACAAATATCTTCTTTCTATCCAATAGTGAGTACCTGCTATTCGACACTTACAACTTTATCGTCATGATATCAGCTTTTAACTGTCTACTGCTGAACACAAGCCTCCCCTTAGGTGACTTTTCACAGTAGTATTGCCGCGCTTGGCATGCGGGTTGTAACCGCAGTTAGGCTTTGGAGATGTTTTAAGAGGGACGCTGCTGCCCATCCCTCGCCCTCCCTTAGTCGCCTCTTACGACACTCACGGGAAAGGAAGGGGTAGGCCACCCCTTCCTTTCTATGCTGGGAAATGTTATAATTTGTAATTGATA